AAGGCAGGCGGCGGCACCTGGGAGGGCTGGCTGTGCCCTCCCGGCCGTGCGGGGCCGCGGGGAGCGCCTGCCTTCGTGTGGTGACAGAACCTGCCCTGCTGATTCCTGCACGCAGAAGAGGTTTGCCAAAGCCACCCAGGGGGAGGTCTGCCTGAGTTTTTACAAGCAGCTGTAAGCTCACGCAGCCTGGACCCCGATATCACCTAATCTGCTGGCTCTGTTGCTGAAATGCTGAGCCTCAGCCGTTGCTCTCTGCAACCTGGTAGGGCTTGTTTGCTCGGGCTCAGCGCTGTGATACAATTACAAAGCTTACAATTTGGAGTGAGCTGGTGTCCAGCACTAACTTTCTTCCTCTTTTTGTTTGTTTATCCCCTGGTTTGCATACCCGTGTCAACGCCCCTTTCTTGGTATCAAATCCACGACTCTGACAGAGGTGTCCAGCGCTTAACCCAGTCGCGTTCTCTCTTTGCTGGCATGGTTATCCTTGCTGGCAAGGTGGAGGGAGTTACTGCGTACCACAGCGTTGTGTCCTTGGTGAGGGACCGTGGGGACACATCCTCCAGTGCTGTCAGTGGAGTTAATGCACAGTGTAGTTCAGGATCTTGCCAGGCAAAGCTGTTAATTCCAAAATTTGCATGTTCCTCAGCACTTTCATACTGCGTGCTGGTTTGCGTGCAGTTGCGAGGTGTTTTTCCCCCAGGCTGTGTGTGCATTTCTTACTTTGAGATAGCTTCTGCCTTATTTCTGTGGTTCATTCAAAAGCCGAATTCGGCAAGAGATGTCGGGGAAAGCCCAAGCTGAATTTCTTCCTCGCTTTCTGATACCCAAGTCCCTTCAGACTGATTTCTTGAGGCCCATGTGAGTACTAAGCCTCTGTAAAAGCTTAGGACAGATTGCATTCTATTAGGGCAGAGCAACTCACTCCCCCTGATTTGTTACACAGTTGGGTTGGATTTGTGATAGAAAGATCTCCCCCTAATCTGTTCCACCTGCCCACACCCCTCCCCTGATCTCAGCACTCTGCAAATCCATCAAACTTTCTTCCTTTTGTGTGCGCGTGTGTTTTCCTCCTCCTGTTAATAATGTAGCCGAAACTCATCTCTGTCTGTCCGTTTGCCTTCTGGAGAGGCGCATTCTCTAGTCTTCACGAGTTCAGTGGCAGCGCACATAATTATGCATATAAGATATAAACAGAGCTGTTTAATTATCCTTCGCCACATCAGTGACAGAGTAATTAACAAACATTGCAAGATCAATGAGGAAAAGTGTGACCTTCAGTTTCCTTTGATAGGAAAGCCCTTGTCGTTCCTAGACACAAGGTGATTGTGCCTGGACTCAGTTTTTAGTTTGTTTTAATTGCCCTTCCCCCACGTTTGCAGCTTTTATTTGCCAGAAAGCTCAAAGGAGGAGAACCTAGAATGTAAAAATGTGTTACCAACCTGTGGAAAATGAAAAGGAACAGAGGTTTCCCTTTGGGGTGGGGGTTCTCAGTGAAATGTATTTTTAGGGCTGTATTGTCAGGGTTATACAAAAATGCATAAGCATTCATGGGGGCTGCAGGCTCATTTATGTACGAAGAAGGTGGTAGCACATGCAGGGTCCGGTTTACCTATGCAGCCACATGGGATTAGACTTGCAGACGGAGGTACTGTCAGGTCTTGAGCTTGTGTTTCAAGAGCCCTCTTGTAGACGTTGTTCATAACGTTTCCCTGGAAAGCACAAAGTGAAACATTGCTTGCTTTGGGAAGGCTGAAGTTCTTTTTCTCTTCTGTCTTTAAGATAGTGTTCCAGAAAATAGATTTTAAGCTGCCCCTCACTGATTCCCCTCAGACCTGGTGTTATTGGGTGCAAGTTAAATTATTCCAGTGAGATCTGCAACTGCCTACACCAAAAGGGAGTTTTTTCCTGTGACTGGGAAGCGGGACCGCAGATGTAGCGGAAGGCACTCAGATCAAAGGAGAGGAACAGAGATCTTCCCATCCAGTTAATGTGGCTTCAGGGAAGTTGTTGCAGGAACCTGGTTTGGAAGGTGCTGAGTGCCCATTGCTCTCTCTGAGGGACATAGAGCTGTGAGTGCTCAGCAGCATTTAAAATTAGGCCCATAACTTCTTTGATCAGCTGTAAACCTGGGCTGAAAAGCAGGAGCCACACAGAAAAGCAGATCTTGCATCTAGCAGAGCTTTGTAGGTCAGTGGGGAAAATGATCCTAATTACATGGGCTGCTGCTTCCCAGAGTCCCAGTATGTACGCACACAACCTGCTTTATTGGGCTTCTTCAGCTACTGTTCATGCCTCCACTAGCATCTCCTGCAGTCTAATGCCAAATCCCTGCTACCTTTGTCCCCTTCTGAGGTCAAAGAACAGTGAGGGTTGTTGTGCATCGTACAGGAGTTTTTGAGACTCGGTCCACGCTGTTCAGTGCTCGTGCCTTGAAACAAGATGGTTCTGTCACCGTGGGGAAGATGCATGTATGGGGTCCCTGTTTGTTCTTGTGAGCCACTCCTTGGTGTGGGGCCCAGCAGGGCTCTGCAAAAGCATTGCCTTGTGTGTCTCCCTTTCTGTAACAGTTAGGGAACGTGTTCAGGAGCCACAAAGCTGGTGTCCATCAGGAGACGGGTGTCAGGCTGTTTTGGACGTGCAGATAGGTTTTCTCATTCATTCACTCACCCTCTCCTACACTGACTGACCCATACTTCTCTACGCGCATTTATATATAGCATTTAGATTTCCCAGTGCAGTCTCTGACAGATCCCTTTCCACAGTCTTTCACTGACGCACAAATACCCAGGAAGATTTTCCTATACAAACCTGGCTTCTTTGTTCTGCCTTTTACTTACAGAGAGAGCTAAAGCAGTCACCAGAAGCTTTCCCCTGTAAAAGCTTTCAAAGTTTTCCTTCCTTTTCTTTCCCTGTTGGCCAAGCCTCTCGGAAAGTGATTATTAGCGCTGTTCTCAACAAGGGTTTTTTTCCCCTCCTAATTTCCTGGGAGAATCCTATACTTGGAAGGACATGTGTGAAGAGTGCAAGTTTTGTCCTTACTATCCTGAATCCCCCACATTTACAAGTTTCCCCTCCCAAACAAAATAAAGGACAGAGCCCTGCCTGGGATGCCCCATCCCCCAGTATCCAGACCTTACACTCCATTTGGGCTGTTTTGCTTTTCCTTCCATATATAGTGTGCTGCTGCAGGCTATTTTTAGCCCCTTTTTTGCTAGCTCCGGATCCTTTGTGATACGATAGCTGCTCTGAGACACACAGATCTCTGCTCTTTGGCAATGCCCACAAATGGAGAGCAGCAGCAAGGGGAGAGGGAGCCCTTTTGTTATCACACAGAAGAGGAGAGAAAAATATGATGCAGGGGGTGGGAGGAGAAGAGCCAGTGACTGGTTCCCGATGCTGGAGATGAGCTGAGATCCAGGGCCATGCACTTTTTGCAGTGTTTGTTTCCCCACCACTGTCCTGCTTCGCTTCTGCCTGCGTGTGTGTGTGGCGGGGGGGGGGGGGGTTCATAGTTGCGTCAAGGCGTTCATGAAATGAGTTGGTTGCATCTCATACTGTCTTTGCGGTGAGGCAAATCCCTCCCACAGGTGCCTCCACTAGAAGAGCCTCTGGCCTTTTGGTTAGCTCCCTGTGCAAATAAGTGAAGGCTGTCTTGGCTTTAGGGGATGTGGTGTTGGACCCATGCTGGAGTGGATAAAGGTGGGCTTGCTAGGTAGCGGACAGTGGGAACTGGTGACGGTTTCACCTCAAATGTGGATGAAGAAACGCTGAGCTTCCCAGCAGCACTGGCAAAGCATTCGGCCGAGGAGGGTGGTGTGACTGACTACCCAGAACCAAATTTGTGCAGAGGAAAAGCAGAGTGCAAACTGTTGCTGGGGGTGAGGGGGGCAAATCTAGGGAAATGAGACCTGAGCTCAGTCCCAGGCTTTGTCAAAGCACAGAAAAGGAAAAGACCTGACAACTCCCCCTTTGCTGTGGCCTTGGCTTTTGCATTGGATTGTTTGTACCAGTTGAAGTCTAATCAGATGAGTAGCAAAGATGATTTCCAAGCACAGGTGTGCAGATGAGAGAGGTTTATAAAGGAGCTGGTCTGCAACATTTCCTTTTTTTTCCCAGTATTACAGGGAAATTGCAGGTTTTCTTGAATTCCCTCTCTCGTTTCGCAATGTCTGTGGGGCCTGAACCAAGCTGGGATTTGTAAAACTGGTTTGAGATGTAGGATTGAGAAAAAGAGTCTCCCAGTTGTGTGCTGGTTTTTGCGGGCTGCAGGTTAGAAAATAGAAGGAAAGCAGCTGGCTGGTTTTCAGGGCAGCTGTTAAAACCAGCAAAAATCACACTTGATAGTTTAATTTCCTTTCAGATCCTCTCTGTGGTATTCTTTCTCCCCTCACAGTTTGGCCTAGGCTGACTAGGGTTTTTCTGTGCAATGCTTGGAAGTCAGGGGCATTGTGAGTAAGGCTAGGGGATTGTTTTACAGGCCCAAAGAGAGATGAAAAAGAGAACATGGAAGACAGATATAACAGAAACAGGGAAATCCTAGACCCAGCAGGGATTTCATGGGATTAATCACTTTTGTGGAGTGATAGAGTTACATTAAATGAAGGTAGAGAAGAGAGAAAAAGAGGCAGAAGCAGAAAAGCCTTAAAATGAGATGAAATGAGCTAATGTCTGTGTGTGAAAAAGAAATTGTATGGCTCTTATAGGGTTTTGGAGGGTCCAGAGGAGAGTAGTCAAGTTGGGAAGCACAGGTGAAATGATCCTACCTCTGAGGATGGAGTAATGCAACCTTGCCTTGAGGTTTCCTTCTGACACGATGTGTTACTCATCCCATCTTGTTGCTGAACACTGTTCGGCCTCGTTCTGCATTGAACATAATCTTTAAGATTAATAGTGACCCATAAGATTGCATGAGGGGGGAAGAAAAGCTAGGACCTGAGCCTAACACTGCAGGGGTGTTGCCACCCCATTTTGTAACTAGCAGGATGTTTATTCTGAAATCCCAGGCAGGATACCGGGCATAAGGGCCAAGCAATGGAAAGTCATTTTCTGCGAAACCAGATCCCGACACCCAGCAGGCGTCTTCATCCTTTTGCTTGCATGCTTCAGCTGTGTGCTTTTGGCGTTGCCCTTGTCATGTACCGCATAGGCAGGCCGCTAGTGCAGCAGCTTTTCCGATCTGTGAACCCAGCTACATTGGGCAGTGCCAAAGCAGGAATATGACCCTGATGGTCTTGCAGGTTTTTAGAGCCCGTTGCAGGCAGTGTCTTCCGTTGCACAGTCCTGCGGAAACAGATTTGTGAGAGCTGATGGCTACTGAACTAGGACTCAGCTCGTTGACTGGGGCTCGTGCGGACAGAAATGCTGTCGTGTGTGTGTGTGTGCGCTCGTGTGCATAATAGCATCACAGGCTGTCAGATCCCCAAATCCTAGGGGTCCATTTTAGTCTTTGGATCTCTCGACCTGTTCTGTGGCTATTGTTCGGTTCCTTCTTTTTCTGCTCTGTTTCACGGCCGTGCTGATTTGATCTGAGCTCTGGACCTAGTGCCCGGAAACTCCATTCTGCTGTCAATTTACCTGCCTGTGTTGTTGGCTTTCTCTTTGTGAAAGAGGGTGCTTGCCCAGGAGAGCTAGAGTGAGTGATTGGAAAAGATGACGAGGGAGGTTTGAAGGACTCCTGCACACAGTAAATCTTTACTCTGCAGGAGAAAGCAAGAGGGAGAGGAGGAGGAGGAGGAGGAGGAACGCTGTGTCAGACTGAAGCCTGAATGAGTCCAAGCTGGCACGTCAGAGCAATCTTTATTTCCTCCTTTACAGTGATATTGGGTGACCTCCAGAAGTGTGTTCTTCCCCTCCTTGTGGCCAGTGAAACTGCCTGAAAGAAGGGGGGAGGGAGGGAGAGACCCAAGGAAGGACAGCTTTTGCTTATACTTCATCGTTGTGATCTCCCGCAAGTAGACCAGCCCTTTCTGCCCCTTCCCCAAGCTGTGCTCGGGAGAAGAGGCTTTCTCCCTCTGCACGTTGCCTCACCTCAGGAGGACAGCTTTTTCTGTCCTCAGCCCAAATCCTAATGGAGAGAAGTCTGTTCCTTGACCAGTTTGCACCTGCCTTTTCCTCTTCTGGTGTTACTGGCAGCTGTTCCTGTCTGCCTAGGACACTGGCAGTGGGTTTCCCCTGCCTTCCCAGAATTCTTGCCCCTTTTCACACGGAGCGTAGTACTTTCCAGTCATTGGAATTAAGAAAGAAGGGAGCAAGTGGGCTGAAAAGAAATGTTAGAAAGTTGATGGGGAAGTGAAGGACTGGAACAGTTGTGGGGAACTACCCTATCGCTGTCCTGCCTTCACGTCTCTATTCCTTCCTCCCATCCTTACCACCAGGCTTCTCATGCATGTAGCCTTTGCAGCTCTTCCCCCTTAATTCTTCTCCACCTCTGCCGCTTTCCTTCCCTTCTCTGCACTTATTCGTTTTGCCCTCCTTCCACTCCACCCCCTGCATTGTTTTGCCCTCTCCCTTATCCGTTTCACACCGTGCTCCCCTTCCTGCTTTCACCCCTGCTGCTCACCAACACAGACAGGTAGCTAGCTGTTCCCCACATTTCCACCCCCGCTTATGCACACAGACACACTGCAGCGTGCACTCTTATCCTCCGTGCACCTCCTTTCATATAAAAACACACACGAGGACAGAACTGCACAAACCTCGGCGTATTGGTGTTGGTCTCACTTCCAGTAAAATTACTTTTTCTTCATATTAGGCCAAGGCAAGAGTGCAGAGACATTTATGAAACTTTGTTTAATGTACTGAAAAGCCATCGGCTAGAACATTTAGGAAATTGATTTTCCTGGCATTGATGAACTCTTTTTATTTTACCCCAGTATTAATTACTTTTTTTTTAAAACAAATTAATTTAAGAGTCGTAAAACCTAACAAGTGAGCCAAACGTCAGTAGATCATGTTCCCCTCTCCCCCACTCCCCCCTCCCCACTACCAGTGCTGTTATGGGAGGAGAAGAAATATCAACCCCTTGCATAATTCTCTCACTCTGGCTCTCTGTAGGGGAAGCTTCATCGCTGCGAGATTATGCCGCTACCACCATGAATGAATTCCTGGGCATGTTCGGCTACGACGATCAGAACATGCGGGATGAGCTGGCCCGCAAGATCAGCTTTGACAAGCTGAACGCTGCTACCTCAGAGGCCACTGCAGCTGCTGCCTCCCTTCCCGGTGAGGATGCCATGAGCAAACGAGCCCGCTTCTCCAAGTATGAGGAATACATCCGCAAGCTCAAAGCTGGAGAGCAGCTCTCTTGGCCTATGCACTTGGCCAAATCTGAAGAGTTGGGCTCCAAGCTGGGCAAAGAGGCTTCCTCAGTGCTGGCACAGCCCATCCGGGTACAAGGTCCAGATGCCTCCATGCTGACGGAGGCGAAAGCCACCATCCTGCCTTTGCCCTCTCCTAGCAGTTCCCAGATGCAGGGCCTCATGTCACGGGCCTCCAAGTATGACTTCTTCATTCAGAAGCTGAAGACAGGTGAGAGCATCAGGCCACAAAATGGCAACACTTACAAGAAGGCCTCCAAGTATGACCTGGAGAACGTCAAGTACTTGCACCTTTTCAAGCCTGGAGAAGGAAGCCCAGATATGGGAGGAGCCATTGCCTTCAAGACGGGCAAGGTAGGCCGGCCTTCCAAGTACGATGTGAGGAACATCCAGAAGCTTACTCCGGTAAAGGCTCCAACACCCAGCCTGGCCCCTGCTCCACTTGCCAGTACCCCGAGCAGTGCTCCTGTGGCCGGGCCAGAGCAGTCCGTCTCATTGCCATTCAACACTCCTGAGTACCTGAAATCAACATTCTCCAAGACAGACTCCATCACAACTGGAACAGTCTCTACAGTAAAGTAAGTGTCCGCCCGCTTTTTTTCTTTGTATTTGTGGGTGGGTATACCTAAGGCCTGTGAGTGGATCGGTGGGACATTATAGTCAGTGGGATGATGAATACTGCACCGGTAAGGTGGTGTTTCTTTTTGATCTCAGTGGGAGTGGCTGGTCTTCTGCTGCAGCTTGCATCTATTTATCTTACTCGTACTAAGGATGTAGACGGCTATCAGTAGTCACAGCCATGAATCTAGAGCCCACTAGCTGAAATGAAAGATGTGGGGACGTAGTGCTGTCAGTGCTCTGAGGTCAAGATCATAACTAACTTTGCTTCTTCCGAATTACAGTTCCCCAGCATCCAGGTTTTGTCTGCAGTAGGACCTGACTCTTACTTCCATTTAACTCAATGGCAAAACTCCCACCGACTTCACTGTTAGCAGGATGGGGCCTTTTGTTTGTATTAGGTTGCGTCCCAGAACTCTGCAGGCACTTTGGTGGCTAATTCCCATTAATTTTCATAGGAGTTAGGCATATACCTACTTTTGTGGATCCAAGCCTGTGTCTTCTCGTTTTGCCTGTTCCTTACACAAATAGAGATGATCAAATTACCCCTCAGACTGGGCAAACTCATTAGTGCAATTAGCACTAGTAATCTTACACACATACATTGTTGGCAATTTCTGTGGTGATACCATGGACTGAATGGCGATCCCTGAAGGCCTTGCCAACCTCAGATTATTTTTACAGGAGCTTCCGGAGAGGGTAGCTGTAGAAAAGCTACATACACACATGTGAGGGGCATGGTTACAACACGGTGTTGAACAGACCAGGGATGACTGGTGATTAGATGCCGTGGGCAGGGGCTGATGGACTGTTTCTGTCATGAAAACTTTGCTGCCTCCTAGAAAAGGGTCAGGTTCCATCTAATCCCTCCTGCTTTTACAGTGTCTATCAGTGTCAGGCTTCAAAAAGGGAGGACTGGAGGGAGGGAGTTGCCGGATCCCTTGTCATGGTCTGGATTTGCTCCTTTCTCGTTGTGGACCTAGCTATTGTCAGCTATGAATTCCTTTGGAATCGTTTGTAGCAAGTCCGGGACCTGCACCTCTGCAGCAAACGCCATCACACTCACCTTCCTGCTCACTCACCTGGATGCTGTAGGCAGTCTTGGACAAGTCTCCATCCCTCACGTTCCATGTTTCCGCACCTGGAAGGCAAAGCTAATGATACCATGCAATACAGTCATTTCCCAGCTGCCTTCAGACAGACTTGGGAGTTTCTATGATTAGAGCGTGTGGGAAAGGGTTGAAGCTTGTTAGCATTTGCATATGGCCCCCTCTCAGGATGAACACTGTGCACACTCCAGATGGCGGGCAGGGACTGCAGTTATTAAAAAGAACTGTGCTGTACGTACTGCTGTAGACACAGTGCCTTCTTGCAGTGGGTCAGTTGGCCAGTGGCTCTGCCCCTGGAGAGTCTCCAGGACTCTGAGCTGCCTGGTGTTCAGTGGCTGGGCTGGAGCTGTGTTTGGGAGGCCACGAGCCTCTTCTGAGCTGCTTTAATGTTGCATTGGCATCCAAGTTTGATTTCCTTTTTCTTGCTGGTTTCCTGCAACTTGCAAATGTGGGTTTGCAGCACAGTGGTAATCCCTTGTGTAGCTACAGCACTTCCTCAGCTGGGTAGGGTGGTGGGGGTGCAGCCAGGAATGGGGTGACCTGGGGCTTTGACCTGGCTGCTCCCAGTGTCTTGATGACACACGGAGCACAGAATGGCCTCTGGTTCCTTCTCATGGAGGCTGCTTACTAGGGTACAGGCTTTCTTGAGAAAAGAAGGCAGCCTATTGTGCCGGTGGAGGAAGTGCTAACTATGTTACCTGGGACCTGGCTTTCCATTCACAGTCCCCCCTAGGAGCAAATAATCTGGCGGGAATTACCCCTTACTCTCACACACAGACAAATACGTCCTAGCCAAGGGTTTTAACTGTATAACATTTGATGCTGTTAACCTGGCCTGAACTAACCTACCTACTCTCAAGTGGACCCTGTGCAAAGGTGTCCTTGTTTAACAAGGCTACAAAGCTGTCAAAATGGAGTTTGGGTGGGGGGACAGAATTGGGAATGGAGACGGCATACAGCCTGTTTCAGGTTGTGTTGGTGTGCCGTTGTGTCTTGGGTGGGCTGGAACCTGTCCCAGTATCTCTTTTCCCTCTGCTGTTCAACCCAAGAAGGACGTAATTTCTATCTGCTTCCTAATGATTCTGTGTAATCCAAGCTGGTAAAACAGTTGAGTGCACTTGGGTTGGTTTTCAGTGATTTAAATACAAAGATGCCTTTGTAACATCGTCTGTGTATTGGAGTTGGAGTACCTGTGTGAAAAAGCAGGCAGTTAAAGCCCCATGTAGCCTGCAGCTGTGTTGCCAGGACCAGGCAACAGATGCGGTGTGCCTGCCGGTGATATGAAACGAGCAACAACTAACAGCAGCTCTGAACCATGAAGACTCTTCTCCCTCAGTTGAGCCTAGGGCAGATCGCTCTTGATGGCCCTTCCGTGTCAATAAGGACAGTGTTGCAAGATGCTTCAGGGAGGTCTTTGCTTTCATGTGGCCGTCACTTGTTTTGTAGATGGGTACCTAGTTTTCTCTGTAGGAATGTCTCTGTAGGAATGGTTGGTCTTCTCAATGCCTCCGACAAATTGAATCAAGGGGGACTGTGTAGATCCCTAGGAAAAGAAGATACGGAACCTGAGGGTAAAGGGGAGGGAGGTTAAACCAATGGGTGTCTTTGCTGGCTACTCTTTCCTAGAGCCTTCTGTCCCGAGAAACAAGGAGATGGGACTGTGCCCTGTCCCTGCCTGCTAACCAGTTTTGCTCTGTGTGTTTCTCATTAGGAATGGATTACCCACTGACAAACCAGCTGTCAGCGAAGATGTAAATATTTACCAGAAATATATTGCCAGGTAGGCAAATCCCTTGGCTTGCCTGGGGGGAGGGCTGGAGGGAGGAAGAAGGTGGAGTGGTGGTGGGAGAGAAGAGGTGTTGCCTCTCTGGATGGAGTGTGTAAACCAGTCCCGGGCGCTTTCATTTTCCTCTGACATCTGTAGTTGCTCTGTTCCCCTGCTTGGGAGAGCAGTAGCTGTGAGAGGTGTACAGGCATGCCAAGAATACACTCTGCTCCCCCAGAGTTGTTAGACTTTGCAGCAAACAGTGGAGAAACGTTTCACTGCAGAAGCCCAGGCTGTAAATGGGTGCTTTGTCTCTTAACTGTCATTCTCTGTGTTCGTTGCTGTGCTGTCTTCAGCCTTTTTTCTCTGCCATGTTCAGTGTCTGCAGGAGGCAAGCAGAAAATATCTCACCTCTGAGAACCTGGGCTGGGAGGGATTCACAAGTGAATCGAGTTTAGGCAGGTCTCAGCGTCAATGTGGGATGTTTGTCCTAGAATCTTTTGCAGCTCCTTTATATGAGAAACACTCACTGAGTAGGGTGCAGACTAGAGCGTCTTAGCACAGCTCTGGAGAAGCTCAGGTCGGGAATGAGTGACACTGAGAGGGCTGTACAGGGAGCCCGCGGCTGGAGTCATTGAGGGGTAGTGGAACAGAGTGAATAATGTCATCAGAGCCAAAGGGACAGAGGAGATCATTGCATAACACCTGCCTGTTTTATAGCTCACGATGTAAAGGGTCATCTGCTTATGTCCGTGGCTTGCCGAATACTTCGTCTGTACTGTGTGGAAGCTAACTTTGAAAGCCCCTTGTATAGAGAAAGACACCAGCTAGGGGAAGCAAGCAAACGAATCTCTCCAGAGATAACATTGACGGGTTTGTTCCCACTAGCGCTTGGGCACTTACCAACAAGAGAGGAGGGGTGTGTGTAATGTGCTTTCTCACCTTGCCAGAATCTAGAGAGGCTCCCTGCGGGAGGGAGTCAGCTGTGGTTATGCTGCTAGGAACTAGGAAGATGCTGCTAGGATCTTCAGCACATCAGCAGGGGAGGAGGGTGAGAACAGTGTTCTCTCTAGCTGGAGAAAGGAAGGAGAGGTGATTTTCACCTTCATCCCTTTTGCCCAAATCCCTGCTGCGTGAGAGGGAGGAAGACGCTAAAACCATGTGGGAAGGGAGGACAGCTGCACCACCCCTTGCAAGTCCTCTAGCAGAGATGCCTCTGGTGCATATAGTAACTCACCTACTCGTGGTTCAGCATAGGAGTGAAGGCAAGGGTTTCGGTCTGTCTGTGGGGTAGAAGAAGCAGCACCCTTCCATTACTGAGAGAGATAAGAGCTTAGTTTTGCTCTGCTGAACGTCACACCTCTATTTTGAGTCGCTGCGTGCCACCAGGAGGTATTAAGGGAGCACTAAGGACCTGAAGGTTTGTTCTGCTATTGGCTGCACGCTACAGAGATCGCAGTGGTTGCAGTGAGAAGGGAGATCCCGCTCTTTCTCGCCGTGGTTCCTCTCTCAAGCAGAAAACTGTATAAACGCTACACCCACATCCACTCTTTGTAGTGCTTTGCAAGCCCCTTCCCCTGGGTCAGGCAGGTAACTGAGGGAGGTTTGTGAGATAGCTAAGGGACACCACATCCTGCTTAAAAAGCTCCGCAAGCCGCCCGTTGGCAGCACAGCCACTTCCCTTCAATTTACACACAGTTTTAAAAACAGTTTAAAGCCTTAAAATCAAGGAGGGGGGAGAGACACGACACTGTATGTCTGTACTGCATAATTAGCTTAATGAGTTTGCCAAAGCCACTGCCAAAAGCTGCCCAGGGATAATCCATTCTCTCGTACAACAAAACAAAACCTCTTACTTAGCTAGTTTGGGTTGGGTTGTTGTTTTTTTTCCTGTGTATATTTATAGTGAAAAAAAGAAAGACCACAGAAAAAATTATTATTATTATTATTAGTGCCTCAGCAGATGGTGCTTCTGGCAGCACTTGGTTAAATATTTATTTCTATGTGGGTTTCCTCCCCCCTTGTAATTGGGGTGGGTTTTTTTTCTTCCTTCTTTCACATCATCGTTACAGGGTAATGAGTCTGTAAACACTCGCTAAGCATGCTGACTTCTTTATTTATTATTTTTATTATTATTTACTTATCTTGGTTTTTCTTGCCAACTCTTGCCGGATCAGGACTAGTTCTTTCTGGAGGGGGGGGAAAAAAAAAAAGGGGGGAACAGATTAAAGTAAGGGAAGGGAGAGGGTTGTACTTGTGAAAATGAGTCTGTGTGCCTTTCTGCACAACTTACAGGTTTGGATTTGCATATCAGTGTGATGAAATGGTCTGTGAGCTTGCAGTCAGTTGTGTGTGTTTGTGCCTGGTCGAGTGCATGGAAGTTGTGGGTACGTTCTTGTAAATTAATAGGGGTGCTGGTGTACATTGCTGCATGTGCAGTGAATGTGTGCGTGTGTATGCGTGTAAGTGAGTGTGTGGTGTGTAAGCTTTCCTGTTATGAAAAAGCTAAACAGATGCTGTGCTTTAAAAATTAATAGCTTTGAACTGTTTCGAGTGTCAGAAGAAACACGGGATAAATATAACCCTTTAGGAGCCTAACCTTACAGACTAAAAGAGCAGAAATTCCCCTTTCTGCTGTCTTTGCTGCTCCCCTTCTTCCCAAAGCACCTTGCACTGTATTACAGTTCCCTCCCTTCTCACGTTAGAGACACCGCACGCATGTGCTTTTCTGTGGCACGTGGAAGGAGGGTAGGAGTGTAAAGTGCTAGAGTGTTTGTTTAGCCATTGCTTTTAGAGCTGAGCCTTGGAGTGACTTCTGTTAGGAAGCTTCAAGTAACTCACCCTATACAGTCAGATTTCTTTAGTGCCTGGCCCTTCTCTTACTGCAGTTGGCATCTCTGATCTTTGCATGCCCTTAGCTTAGATAGCCTTGTGGACAGCTTTGCTTGAAAAGTGTCCGTGTATTAGCAAGGTTCTTGTCTTCTCTCCTCTCTGCCTGACCTGCGCTCCCCAGTTCTCTAGCCCTGTGTCTTTCTTGCTACCCTTTGCTCTCTCTTCCCCATCTCATCAATGGAACTGGGAGGAGGCTTTCCAAAGCAGTTTCCTGGCCCGCCCTTTGAAGGTGCTGGTGGTGCTGCTCACAAAAAAGCCCTGGTCTAGGTGGGCAAGTTGGTTCGATCTACTGCCAAGTCAGTGTTCCTGGTTAACGCCGTGGAGACTCAGGCTGCTGCCCGTGCCCTGTCGTAGCCGCGCTGTTGCCCCAACATCGAGCTGGAATTGCTTCTTCTGCTTTCAGTTCCACACCTTTGTTTGTGCAGCCAGCACTGCTCTTTGCCTTGTGGTTTGTTTCTTCTCCACTGCTGAGGTTTGTTCCAGTTTCTCACATCACCTGTTCTGGCGTGATCCTGATTTCCTGCAGTATTTCTTCTCTTTCCCCAGGGAAAGGCATGTCTGCTTCTGGCATCTGTCCCCATCTCCCTTCGTGAATGCTGAGGCAAAGAAGTCATTTAATTTTTTAACAATGTCTATCTTTTCTGTCAATTAAGTCCCCTTTCCATCTCCTGGAGGCCCTGCTGTCTCCACAATTGACCTCCTCTTCTTTATTGTACTCCAGAAATGCCTTATTTAGTACTGCTTTTCATCCCAGCTCCTTTTTTTTTTTTTTTTAAAAATCCTGTTACCTCGCATTATGATAGTTCAAAATGTTCCCCACTCCCACCCATTCCTTGATGTCCCATGACACCCCTGCTCCTCTCTCTTTTTCCTTTTCCCCTGTTGCCCTTCTTTGTTTCTTCCTGATGCCCTTTATCATATGCGCTCCTGGTGTGTTTAGCACTAAGTGACGTGAGGAACCTTTGAGCAGATGGTAATTTATCTTTGAATGTTTCCCCTCTGAGTCCCTTCTCTCCACTGCTGTTCCATTTCAAGCTCTTCAGCTCTTCCGGATTTCTTTACAATATACACCAGAGTGTTCATCACACTGATTAGCTTGTTTTTGGATTATCCCCTTTTGCCAATTACTAATCTGTCTATCAGTCAATGGATTCTATCTGGCCCTTTGGTACGTAGGTAGTACCTCGCCTTTCTGCCTTTCTGACCTCCTTCTCTCCCTCCATGTGCAGAGTTCCCAAAGTTGTTGTAAGAAACACTCGGTGGTGGCCTGCAGAAATGGCTTGATTGCATGTTGCTGGCTGCTGCTGCTTGTGTCCTACTGTTAATTACACTTAAAGTCAGGCTGAAAATCTTGTGTGCTTGCCTTTCACTGTTTCTTATCCTGAGCAAATACTGAGTATGCCACATGGAAAATAATGACTAGCAGGGCCAGCTAGTGCTGTTGTGCATGGGAAGAGAGCTGCGCACGGGATAGCTTCATCGGACTGGATGGTTTGCCTGTAACGCTACATTCTGTTCCTGTTGATCCATCTCTAATATCTTTCCATTAATCTGTCCAACCTGTTGAAAGCCCCCGTGTAATCTTGCCACGGTGTTCCCTTGTCTTTGCAGCTTACCATCTAATCCACTGGTTTGCAACCTTTTCTGTAGTGTGACAACAAAAGTTTTGGGACGTTACTCACACAAAGAAATGTATGCCTGAGCTTTTCTGAGGTCCTGCTAGGTGTGCGTATACTTAGAAGTGAGAATCTGTCTTTGACCAACCCTTATTTGTCTCCACATGGCATGGGAGATTTCTGAAACTCACTGCTGTGGCATCCCAACTCACAAATGAGAGTTTCAGTATTGAAAATATTTACCTTAAGGAACCCTCCTTTCTTACTCCTCCCCAAGTAAGCAAGGTAGATAATGCAGCGTTTTGTTCTTCTTTCCCTTCCTTATCTGCAGTGATCTTCAGCTGTTCTTCCTGGGAGTCTGCTGTTGGCCCAACATACCCTTTGTGGTACCCGCTCTCAGGCCTTACCCCTTCATCTCCTCACCTTGAATACCTCGCTGTTTCCACAGGGACCCCCCAGTTCAGGAGGAGAATTCCCACATCTTAGATGCTTGAAAGCTGATTCGGGATTTTAATGGGATAGCCCCTATTTATTCTTACTGATTTCTTCCTCAGTGTTGCAGTCTAATTTCCAATGCGCTGCTTTTGGAGAGAAGGACTGAAAGAACACTCACCCTCGTTTGTGCTGCTACTGGCACCCCACTTGATTGAAATGCAAATACAGCCCGTTACCACTTGCACCCCCCCCCCCTCCATTCTGCTGGAACAAGAGGACTTTGCTGTCCTTTTGGCTTTTTGCTCTGGAGTTGCTGAGAGCCACATGCTCATCTGCAACTTAATCTGCTGCCTGCAGGCCCCTTTCACTCTGCTTTCTCCCACCTCTTATTTGTGTGGATATTTGGCTGAATATTGCATTATCCAATAGTGGCACCATTTTTTACAGCTATTCCAAGAGCAGCCTCGTTAGCTTTTTGCCTGAGATCGGTTGGGTAGGAAGAGGCTCATGGAAAAGAAATAAGTAGAATGTGGTGAAATGTAAAGGTGATCTAATGCTCTGCCATAATTTATTGGAAGAAAAGGTTACGTCAAAACTTTTTCCCACTTTACCTGAAGGCTGGGAGCTCGTCGAGTCCAGAACGAGATCCAGTGAGATGAATTTTTTAAAAAAAGACGCTATGCAGATTTCATCTGTAAAGACCTGAGGGATCTAGCTGAACTACTTCCCTTCAGCACTGAAGAAAGGCTTTTAAATGAGTGACAGATGAGAAAAGGAAGGTGGGAGGGTCGCCGTCCTTGGAGGTGATAAGGACGTGGAGTAGGATACTGTAAACGGGTGGGATGAAAGCAAGAGTCAGACTTACTTTATTTGTACCTTGCTTACAGACACTGCTGTCATGAGACTATTTAATTCTCTCTTCCTTTTTTTCTTCTGTACTCCTCGCATGTTTGCAGGTTCTCTGGCAGTCAGCACTGTGGGCATATACACTGTGCATACCAGTATCGAGAACATTACCACTGCCTCGACCCAGAATGCAACTACCAGGTAAAACAACGGCGCAGAGGTACCAGCACCGGTACCTGAACGTAAAGGGGTACAACCTAGGGAACATGCGTGTCCCTCTACACTTTCCTCCCACATGCCCGCACATGCCTCTTCACTTTTCTGCTCAGAAAGAGAGCAAGAGGATTCCAAATCTAGCATCACTTAACTCAACCCAGACCACTGTAACTAAGAGCAGAATAGAGATCAACTGAAGTCAGTGAAATTATTCCAGATTTACATCAGTGAAACCAAAAGAGTAAGTTCTGCCAGTGTACAAATTGTGCCTGAAAATAGGGAATGCTGATCTGTTAGGCTGTCTCTTTCCCTGCCAAAGTGACGTTGCAGCAGCGGTAGCCGCAACAAAACACCCAATAAGACCAGCAGTCCAGGATCTGTGGGGAGAGCGTGGGGGCAGGAGCATGTGCGATGCTGTAATTACTGGGAGAATTGCCAGGGTAGCAACGTCAAGCCAGCTCTGAGTCACGTGCTGTGTTTGTTTACCCTCTTCCCAGGTCTGTGAGTTTGACTCTGCCATTTCTGTGGTCAGGCTGCGTGTGTGTAGGGGGGAATCACAGAGTTTGCCTCTGCTGTGCATCAGACACAACTTCTGCTGTACCCCAGGAGACCTCTTGGTCTCAGAGGAATGAGTCTGACCACAGCATGGGAAGTTGATCTGGCTCTGCTGAGCTTGACTGTGGGTTTTTATTGATCAGAGGAGGGTTTTTCTCGGGGATGCTTGTAGTGGTCCTTCTGGCCCAGCGTTTGGTAATCGAGATGAGCCTGTCCCAACTGTGACATAGATAGCTGTGCACCAGAAGAGGAACACAGAGGCTAGAAAGACAGAAAAACCTGTTATTGTGATTGGCGTCATGATTATTTCCTGGGGAGTCTGGAAGCTGCTTGCAGAGGAGCTGTCTGGTCTCGCAGGGAATAAGGATTTAGGCTGCTTTTTAAGATGCAAATTATTTTATGGCTGAGATATATTTTATAATAAGTAACGCTCTGTAGTAAGTGGGCACAAATTAACGATGATTGGCAATAGCAATCCTGTATGTACGTCCTGGGAAATCATACCTCCAGCCTCCAAGGGATTCCTATTGAAATCTGTGTCCATATATTCCCATGCCAATACCGACGGGATTGATCAGGGTTGATATTATGGGAGGAAAGAGGGGAAGCGATAATCATTTGTTTCCTACGAGGGAGACTGGAAAAGTTGTTAAACATTAGAATACAGGCCTTTTCAATTACTCCTCAAAATAAATGGATATTGATTTCTTTTAAAAAATCAGATTTACTTTCCCACCTTCACTGTTAAATATTGATGTCTGTGGGATATGGAACTGCAAAGCTTCATTTTTAAAGGCACTTAGCCTTCCCTGAGAGTGGGGTACCCCCTAATTAGCGCAGGGAGGTGGAGAGGTGAAAGGGATGTTCTGGTCTTCCGGCTTTTTAGCTCTAAGCTCTACTACAAGCTTTTCCTGTGCCTGGAAGAAAGTTTTGTGTCCCCGTTGCCCTAATAAAGCCATCCTCCCTTCTAGGGGTGGCGGGAGACTTAAAATCAATGGTGACAGACTATAAAAGAGCAGAGTGTTTTTTCCAGTTTCTAGTCTGACATGAATGTGGCAGCCAGTGTCTTGCTAACCACAAGAGTGAGCGAGTGATTTGGAAGCTTGGATTACTCTCTTGCAAGCTGTTTAGTTCACTGGTTTCCTTTCTAACTATAGCAATTCTTGAGAGAATACCAGCCAAAATTATGTTAAAAGAATTGCAGTCTTAAGGCTGCAGGGAGCGTATCCTGGACATCACACTCCTGTCATTTTTACTCTACTTAAACTTTTTATTTGCATATACTTTCCTGTTACCAAAAAAATACGTGCACACAATTCCTCTTTAATATGACTCTCTTGGGGTGACTACTGCTGAGCTTTAAATTCCTGGTAACATAAGTTTATTAACAACAACCGCAAAAACAACAACAGCAGCAAAACCCTACCCCCAGAATTACTCGCCCACTCCCATCACGTGTGTCTCACTCTGTCTGTCTCTGTATCTCTCCAGAGATTCACTAGTAAACAGGATGTGATTCGGCATTACAACATGCACAAGAAACGTGATAATTCCCTCCAGCACGGCTTCATGCGCTTCAGCCCCTTGGATGACTGTAGCGTGTACTATCATGGCTGTCACCTGAATGGGAAAAGCACACACTACCACTGCATGCAGGTAACAGCTGGACTGGGGAATAGGTGGTAGTACACAAACAGATGAAGAAAGCAGAGCTGTTGTTTGAGATGTGTCCTGTCTGGGGTCAACTGAAAGGATTCTGGTGCTCAGGCAGCTTAACACTTCCTTGTTAGGCTGCAGGGGGCTGCCCTGAGGCAAAGGGGTGTAATCCAGCGTGTTCGTAGCCTCTCTTGCTCAGTTTTGATTCAGGCACCTCTGTGAAGAGTCTGTACCCTCTTCTCACTGCCTGTGCCCAGCAAAGGGCCTTTCGCCCTGTTGGGAAGAGTGAAGGGCAACACCATTCTCTATTTCTAGAAACCTGGTGCATGCAGTGGGGCAAAGGGGTTCTCGGGGTTTTCTCGCGGTCTTGGTCTTCACTTGCTCAAACAAGTCCCCTTCTCAGAGGCTGGGGGACCTCTGTGAGATAGCGCTGCGCTGCCTCTACCTAAATCTGACCTGATGCTTCCTTGAAATCAGACTTCTCTGTGGAAGATCTGCCCTTTAAACACTGGGTTCAGTTCCTCCGCAATCAGCGTCTAAAGTAATTGAATTTTGATGTCACCTATCTAGACTTAATCCCCCGCCTATCCATCTCCTTTGCCAGTGGTACCGGAAACTATCTGTCTGCAAGCGTCGGTTTTGAGCTTTGTATTGAGAGCAGGGTAGGCTTCAGCAGCGACGCAGCCAGAGTTGGAGTTACTGTGTAGATGTAACTGTGACCCCTTCGCTGTTTTTTTGACAAGGACAGACCAGATCATTTTGTGCCTCAGATTAGACGTTTTGGCATGCACTCGTTTCATCAGAATTGTGACCTAAAGCATTGTCATGAGAATGTGCTGAGAATATTCAGCAACAACCTGAGAATATTCAGGCCACCTCTTCTGAAAGCTTTTCTGCTATGAAAACTCAGATCTTGCTTAAATGCTTTGCTGGGGTAGACTTAAGCTTATGTTTGACTTTAAGTCAGGTCAGCTTTTTGAAGTCAATGGGGCTTAAGCACATACTTAATGTTAGGCATGCACTCAAGTTCTGTCCTGAATAGGGGTTGGTTTAAGCGTATGCTTACAAGGTTTTGATGAATTGAGGACTTCATGTGACTTTCTGTTGAGGACATTTTCTATTATTCTTCCATAATATTCGTTGCTCAGTTTCTCCAATTGACCAGGATGGGATTTGCTTAATTTTTTTAGAGTGCAATGAATATTTCACAGCTTTAAGTCACTCTGAGTTTGAATAGAGACCCTCGTTTAAAGAGCTATATATGGGAAATTCCATTCTGTGCCCACTGTCTTCCAGTAAAATAATGCCCATGTAAGCAGTGTATTACAGGAAAGGTGTCTGAACATAAACTCCCAATTAAAGAAAATATTGCTTAAATGGCAGGATTTGTGCCATCCATCTCGTAGGGTATTTTTTTCTTTATGTCCATAATTGGTGTGGATAAAATTCAGTTAGTTGTTTATATAAACTGACATTTTTTTAGGCTTTAACACCAAGAGCTGCATTGCGAATTATTCCTAAGGAGGTTTTTGTTTAATTCTTTTTTTTAATGCCGTGCAGGGTCTGTCTTTTTTCAAGGTGTCAGTGTAGAGAGAGAGAGGCTTTTTTATATTGGAAATAGCTGGAGATCCTTTTTATTTTTTTTTCTGGGTATTTGTCATGGGTTTTGTTATTGCCTGTTTGAATCAACCTGGGCTGAACTGAGAGGTGGTGTTTTCGTTCTCTTCACTTCTGAGATGGTGCAGGCATTGGCACACGTTGTGCTAGAGAAGAAAAGAAAAAAAATCCTCCCTTAGCAGGGCTGAGGACGTTTTCAGATTCCAGTGTTTTTTTACTCAATATGGCAAAGTTGCCCGCTTTACCCAGAGGAAGGCAGGTTTTCAGCATTCCGAGCTCGTCACACCATTCCCATTTGCTGCACGAGTTTAAAACTACTGAATTGATGGTCTTGAACAGTGATGGGAAAAAAAGCAAGGAGTTTGCACAAGTCAGCTGAACACAGGGTTTCTGCTTTGGTAGACTGAACCCCACCTATTGCAAGCTCAAAAGATTGACCTCGTGTTGCACCACCACCCTTGCCCTGTCTCCTAGAAGACATAAATAACTCATTCCCAGTCGATTTCATGTTCCTCAAAAAGATGAAGTCCAGCGTCATTCCATCCCGCTCCAGGGTGACAAAAACCAATGACATCTGTCAGTTTGTTCTCTTCTCCTTAAGAGCAGGAACCCTGCTCTCTTTCTCCCTAAGCAGGCATGATTATCTGTAGCTTGTCTTTTATCCTTTCACATCCTCACCTTTTTTGTTACTATTTTGTGTCCAGAGAGTTGATTTTTCTTTTCATGACTGTTCTATCAGTCTTCAGATTGGGAGTTAAAGTGATGACTTAATGCTCCTAGGAGAAATGCACAAACGGAACTGATAAATGTTTATGTGTGGCTCATATGTTTATTATTGCTGATGTTAATAAGATTGTGGTAGGCTATTAAAACGTTGTGCTGATGACTCCCTGTTTCGATCTGGGGTAGGTGGGTTGTAACAAGGTCTACACCAGCACCTCTGATGTGATGACCCATGAGAACTTCCACAAGAAGAACACTCAGCTTATCAACGATGGCTTTCAGCGGTTCCGTGCCACGGAGGACTGCGGCACTGTGGAATGCCAGTTCTATGGGCAAAAAACCACTCACTTCCATTGCAGGTGAGACAGCAGGGAAGGGGAGGAATCCTGCCTGAGAGATGCATAGTCTGTTTGCCTCCTTCTGTCTGCCAAGTCGTAAATTCAGGAATATACACAGGGACTCGCTTTTCCCTGCTGTGACCTTCTCAGTATCGCTGTTGAGAGAACTCATGCTCCAGGGTGGATGCGATTTCCACGGTCTTACCACAGAGCACTCGGAAGGCAGGAGATTAATTCACTGGCCTGTCTGAGGTGATCTGAGGGAAGAATGCCCACTAGGAAACATAGACCAGAATCACTTGGGGAAGCTATCACAGTGCTCTTCCCTGACAGAGCCCAACTGAGGGGTACCATTGGTATGCTGCTAATGGCACTTGCATGCTAGAGTTCTCTTCAGCCAGCGGTCAGCCAGGTCATCCCTTTCCGAGCCAGACTCTGCTTTCTGTTACACAAATGCTTTCCTGTTGGTTTCTCAGCTTCTCAGGAACCTGAGTAGGAAAGCACGGTTTGCACCTCAGTCCCCTTGTAGCTGCTCTTTTGGCTGGAACTTGCAGTGGTGGGTGCCTGCTTCCCCACGTCCTGTTGGCTGTTCCTCAGAGTGGAACCAGCTTCCCAGCTCTCTTACATGGCCCAGCTCTCTTACATGGCAGCGTTTGTGCTTGCCTTGGCATCGCAGGTTAAGCCACGTAAAGGTCCTTGAGCCCCTTGCCACCGGGGCCGCTGTCTCACACTGGCCCCAGCCCTTATCCCAGAGGGAGGCAGGTGACAGCAACTGCATTGTGCTCCTAGCTCACACAGCCAACCACCCTCCTCTCCTCGATGCCCTTGCAGGCGACCTGGGTGTACATTCACCTTCAAGAACAAGTGTGACATTGAGAAGCACAAGAGCTACCACATCAAAGATGATGCCTATGCCAAGGATGGCTTTAAGAAGTTCTACAAGTATGAGGAATGCAAGTACGAGGGCTGTGTCTACAGCAAGGCCACCAACCACTTCCACTGCATAAGGGCAGGCTGTGGCTTCACCTTCACCTCCACCAGCCAGATGACCTCCCATAAACGCAAGCATGAGCGCCGGCACATCCGGAGCTCGGGAGTGCTCGGCTTGCCCGCCTCCCTCCTGGGATCCAAGGATAATGAGCAAGAGGAGTCCAGTAATGACGACCTTATTGACTTCTCTGCCATGAGCTCGAAGAACTCTAGCCTGAGTGCCTCCCCCACCAGTCAGCAGTCTTCCGTTTCCCTCATCGTCCCAGCTGCACCTTCCTCTGCTGCTGAGCTTGCTTCCTCACAGGCCGGCAAGCCTGCCAACAGCATGACACCAGCCACCAAGATCTCTGGCCTGCTCTCCCAGGCTCTTCCCAGCAATATACCCTTGGCCTTGGCGCTCTCCAACTCGGCGCTTCCCGGAACAGCCGGATCCTTTTTCCCCATCATCCCCAGCCGGGTCTCTACACCACTTCCTGCCAGCTCAGCTAATCTGATGACTGCTGGTTCTTCTGGCACCAATCCACCATCATCTGCTCCTACGGATTCCTCATCCCAGGCCATCTCAGGATCCGGTGACCCAGCAGCTACTACTTCTCCAGCTCCAGCAGCATCTATAATGGAAAGGATCTCTGCTAGCAAGGGATTGATCTCTCCTATGATGGCAAGGTTGGCAGCAGCTGCACTCAAGCCCTCTGTGGCACTTGAAGCAGGTGAGTCGCTCTCATTGGTTGTGCTGGCAGTGGGAGGAACAGGAATGCCTGATGATTTGGAGACAAGCAAAAGCAAAGTCACTCAGTTGTCCATGGGCCTGGAGGTGGGGAAGGGAGAATGAAGGAACACACACGTGGGAGGATTAATCTGGCCATACCCAGAACCCTTGAAGAGGGCAGTCTGGGCATGCTGTCCTCTGGAACCTGGCTATATTCTTGTAGCCAGGAGAGAGGCAGGAGACTTGCAGCTGTGCCCCCATCGGAGTAGGCTCCTGTCAGACTTGAAAGAATAGTGTTGCTCTGGGTATCCCCTGCTTTGCTGTAGGCTGAAAAGGGAGTAGCACTGTATTAAAAAAGGAACTGGAGAAAAGCCTTGGCCGGTCCTTGCAGGCTGTACTGCAGCCTAAGCCCTCTTCTGTAGGCCCTACTGCGTTTTGGCTGGGCCTACTCAGGTAGCTCCTCCATCTCATTGCCTCTGCTTTTTCTGATCTCGAGGGCTAGTTCTGTGCCCCAGCTGTGTCAGGCCAGCTGTGTTTTTGCAGATGGTGTTGGTACATTGCATAAAACTGGACCTTTCTGCTGTTCAGTTCTTGCAAGCTGTGCATCTCCCTCCCAGGGAAGCAAGGTTGAGACAAAGAGCACTGGGAGAAGAACGGGAGCTAGCTGCTATGAGGGGCAAGACATGCTGCCAGGACGCGAGCTATTTAAAAGGGTGCAGTCAGTGTTCTGCAGTAGAAAGGAAGGACAGAGCATCTGTGCTCTGAGGGCGTAACAAGCTGTGGATCTAGAGCAAGCTAAGGCTGACTTTTGCTGTGCCGCCTTTCTCCCTTCTCATAAGAGGTAGAAAGGGGGCTGTAGAGATGGAGGGTGCTGTTCACTGCGGCTTTTCAGAGGAGTCGGACAGCTGCAGGCTTTCTCCAAGCCAGGTCCTCTTTCCCCCGCCTTGCACCTCTGTTGCGGCAACGTCAGATCAACCAGTGCCGTTAACCCCGGGCCTGTGCCAAGAGGGCATGCTCCCTGGGAGTTGTCCAGTCCATTCAGTGCTCTCCTCGTGCTGTGCCTTAGTCCCTTGCTCACTTCCCTCTTTCTTCTCTATTTCCCTTTCCCTGCTCCTGGGCTGGGGGAAGAGCTTTTCCCATCACGGTATTGGTGGATTCCCTTAGGAATCACTGCGTTGGCTCTCACCAAGGACCTTTGGCCTGCTGGGCAGATAGCAGCTCCCTTTCCTGGGGCTCCCAGAGCTGCAAGGAGCAGTAGCAGCTCTGGTGAGCAGTGCGAGAGCGGGGGAAAGGAAAGACGGGAAGGAGTCGTCCCTCGCAGCCCAGACCTCTTCCTGCTGCCACCTAGAAGCTGTGCCAAGTCCTGCCAACCAGAGGATCCCGAGGCTCCCTGGAGAGCACCGCCTGGGCTTCCACGGGGTGTTGCCGAGGGGAGGCTCTGCCCAGCAGCACCCAGTGGCATCAGACTGTGCTACAGCTCCCCTCCCTTCCAACACTGAAAGGCCAGCGCAGGCTACTTGGCCGTGGGTATGAGAGAGCTGCCGATGTTTCCTCCTGCCAGAGAGCAAAGGAGGGGAGTAGGACGAAGTGATCTGATTAAAGAGGGAGGGGAACTTTCACATACTTTTAAAATTATTATTTGAAAAATTGTTTCCTAAAGCAGAGAAAGGTCATTGAGGGAACTATTTTCCTTTATTTTTTAATAAAATGCCACTTGCTGTCTGTGAAGCAGCTCGCCGTCAGCTGTACTGCCTGAGGGTAAATTAATATTTTAGTCACTTGGGGATTGTGGAAAAAAGCTCTGCAGACATGTTCCTGTCAGCAACTTTTTTACCCTCCTTTTTTCTTTGCTTTTCCTCTTAATTTTTTTCTTTAATTTCTTCTCTTCCACTTTTTCTTCTTTTCCTCTTTCTTTTCCTCTTCCTTTAATTTTAATTTCTGTTTCATGCATTTGGCATGAAATTTTTTTTCTCCCCCCCAAAAGAAAAAAAAAAAACCCTTTTTGTGGGGACAACCTGATGGGAGAGAGGTCACGCAGTTTGAACCGATCTGATTGGCTGTCATCTTCGATAGCCCCAACAGGGCAGATGCTCCTGCTGGGCACGCGCAGTGGCGGGCCGTCGCTGTCGCTACGGCAACGCTGGGATTGGGGATGGGAAAGGGGGCTTGACTAGCAGTCGAAAGCTGCCACATTGCCTCAGCATTAACAGAGTCTTTAATAAACGCTTAAGAGGCAGCCCCGCAAATTAGTTATGACAGTTTGTGCAGAGAATCAGGTCTCCCCCACGCTCCTTCCGCCCTTCTCCTTTAAAGGGCCCATAGCCTGGACAACTTTGACATAATTCTGCAATAATTATCACTTGAAGAATTTCCACGCTGGAGTGGACGTCAGAACCCATCATGTCAGCCTGGCAATAAACGCTGACCAGCAATCCCAGCACTTCCCTCCCCCCCCCACTTTTTCTTTGCTTTTTCCATTTATGCAGTGGTGGTAGTGATTTAAGTTTTTCATTTGCCATTGTAACCTTATTTTATACCTACCTTTTTCATTTGATTTTTGCATTTCATTTTGTTGTCTTTCTCAAGCAGGGAACGGACAACCAACAGCTCCCGGACGGTTCAATCCAATTCAGGTGAAGCAGGAGCCTGTAGAAACCATGGGATCATCATCTACTGCCACTCAGGACTCCTTACAGGAGCACAGCTTGGACCTGAGCGTCAAGGATCATGGGTGAGAGAAGCGAGCAGGCAGAAACACTTAGTTCTTTGCAGCTTGGAGCGCTGAGAATTTGCCGTATCTGTAACATGAGAGGACACAACATTTTGATGACAGTCAGTTTCACAGTGGCCGAGTTAGACACCCCCAAGCAGGAGGCGAGGAGGCTCCCTCAACTTCCCCTCAAGGGTGTGTTCTCCAGTAGGTTTTTTTGGGCACATAAGCAGCTACTCACGTTCTCACAGGAGCCCCACCTGCTCCCCTCTTTGCCATTGCCAAAACTCCTTGTTTGAGTTAGATCTTCTTGCTCTTGTCATACCCAGCTGATTGAAGACCGCTCCATTGCCAACTTTGCCACACTGTTACCAAGAGCATGTACCTTGATGTGACAAGGCATTGAATCAGGTGTAAGAGAGGCATCTTTCAGGAGAAATTGGGTACACGAAACAACTGCTTGTCTTGCTAACTGTGGCCTGGGTCTAGCATGTGCTAGTCTGTAGCCGTGGTGATGTCTCTTTGCACTGATGTGAAGACACCTATCTTCAAGCATCCAGCCCACCTGTCCAGCATTTCTGCTGAGAATAGGAGTGTTTGGGGATTTTCCCGCGTGGAAAAACTGCATCTGGTTCAGACATTAGGGATAACTGAGCCTGGTCCGTTCTGACACGTGCATGTTCTCCGTGCTTTATTTAGCCAAGCCTCAGTTAAGGACCTCAGCACTTGTAGTCAACTAGAACTACTACTGATGCATGTGAAATACTAAGGTGGCCTTTCATTGTGTTTAGCTGTGGCTCTAGTAAAACCAGAGTCTTAAACATTGTTGCCTTGTCTTCTCTTCTGCTGTAGAGAAGGCCTGTGTCACTGGCAGCGTGAAAAACCTAGTTCAGCGTCCCCCATGTTTTTTTGGTGTATTTTGCAAAGTTTTAGCAGGATGAAAGACTAAAACATGGGGTGGGCTGTGTGTGTCAGCTATTAAGAAAGTGTGGTGTGTGGACCCTGGCAGAAGAGGTCTGGACTGTTTAATTGCTGAATAGAACTTAATTCTGGAAACTTGTGACCCTCTTCCTGCCCCAAGGGAGGGTGGGCGTCGTTTTCTTCCTCTGAATGCAGCAGGTGAGCAGTGAGGCAGCTTGAAGGGAGAAGAATTAATCTCGGTGCTCACAGTCCCTGTGCACATCTTAACTAAACCCTGTTGGTTTGTGTGTTCTAGTAATGAATCAAATGGCCACACAGTCTCGGCAAATTCATCTCTTTTATCCTCGCTTATGAATAAGGTAAGAGCCATCCATCAAACGCCTTTCATTTCCCCCCACCAAGAGAAATTAAAGCCGCGATGGCGGGGGGGTGGGGTGGGGGAGATGCGTTTGTTTTTTAATGTTTTGCCTCTAATAAGATGAGTTTGTACCATTTAAATTTTGAGACCATTTTTCATCGGGTATAATTTCAGAGCCACTGCTTACGAATTAATTTAATGAACTGGCTGAAGAAATATATTGCAGCTTCTCCCCCCCCCCCTTTTTTTTTTTATCCTTTCTAGACAGAGGAGGGTTCTGAAATATTTTTTTTCCCCCCATTTTTATTTCCAGAACCTGGCAACTTCTCCCTTGCTCTCTTTTTATAGTTACTCATTTTATTTATTTACTTCAAAACATTTTCTGTCACTGGGGGAAGGAGAGAGAGGAATCACTTGTTCTTATGAAAGAGAAGGAGAAAAAAAATTAGAAGTTTTGAGCCAAAATCATCAATTTCTGCCTTTCTGGTTTGAGTAATGGTGTCCAACAGAGCCCACTTTACCATGTTTTAGAATATTTATTTTAAATAATGCACAGTTTCTTTTTCCGTACTTTTTCCTTAAATTATACATCATCTCAGATATATTTTCCCCGCTCACGTGATAAATTCTGCTGTAGCAAGATTAATTTTGCTGTTGTATACAACTGCATTAGGGATCAGGGCAGCCTTTGAGCCATGCTTTAATATCCTACTGTGTGATAGGTTTTAGAGGCATAACTATTGCCATCCCCTTGGCTCTGGGCATTATATGCACCAAGGCCATATAGCCCTCAAGAGGGCAAAGTGACTTTTTCTTGTATTCACTCACCTCCTTTCTCTCTCATTTCGTCACTCTTTTTTCTCTGCGTTAATTTCTACTTTTACCCTTATACCACTTTTCTCCTCCACTGGGGTTTTGGTACTTCCTTTTTAAACTTCCTTTCTTACTCATTCCCACATATTGTCCCTTTAGTGCTTTCACATATGCAGCTCTTTCTCTAGTGAGTAAATACGCTTAATCCGTTCTCTGGGATTCTGAGTCCTTCCGAAGGCCCCCAGCTCGGGAAAATACCTCAGTAGATACTTCACTTCAGAATCTGCAGTACTAAATGAGATTTAGGCATACGCTTAGAAATAAGCGTTTGTCTGTGTGCATCCCTGCCTGCCTCACATTCTTAATATTGTGCAGAATAAGTGTAGCACAGGTACAAAATGCTAGTTCTTCAGGTTTCTTCCTTTTCTTCGCAGTAGGAGCAGGATTAAACGGTGACAAAAAGCAGCAAAGAACAGAGGCTAGTCCAAGATGAAAGATTACAGAATCAAGCTCTGTGCGCTCAGGAACACATGATGCTTGCTCCTTCCCCTTGCTACACACGATTTCTGTTCGTAGTGAAATCCCCCTGCGACATTATTTGTCTGGGAAGAAAAACCCTTTACAGAAATTGAATGCCCAACACCAAAGGAAAAAGATGAGCTAAATTTCTGACTCTAGCCATAAAGAGCTGCAGTCTCCACATAGCAGCAGGGGCTTTACCTTCAGGGGGCGTCAGGAGAGCCTCGAATAACCAGAGTTCCTGTAGCGTTGTGCAGTTTATTTAGGAGGGGGCTGTCAGGCTTAATTAACTGATATTTATAAAGGGCTTTGAGATCCTCAAGTGGGTGGAGTTCATAATGCAAGTATTGAGCCCAATCCTGCATTTTATTCATGCCTTGAATTTCACTGGTGTTACTGGAGGTAATTGAGAGAGCAGTAGAGCAGGAACGGGCCTGGGGAGTGGTTGTGCATTTATTATGAAAGAAAATTTTCTGTCTAAGCACTCTTAAGTAGCCTCCTTTTTCTATTCTACACATCCTGTGCCTGAACCTCTGAATCCTCTGTGTGTAGTATCTGTTTGGAGCCTTTCACCCAAGGGAAACTGGGAGTCCAAGTCCTATTTTGTGGACTCTCCATTAGCATAGACAGTGAAGTAATTTATTTACTGAAGTTCTAAGAATTTTCCAAGGACCTAAGTGGAGCCAGAATTTTGCCCAGGTTGCGTGAGAATTTCTTGCCTTTCTTTTTTCCTCTCCAAAAAGCATACCTGACAGTCATTTGAAGGAGACGTTCTTGTGGCTAGGACAAGATGATTCTAAATAAACTAGAATTAACCAGTTCTACTGCTGGCTCTGTATTGAGAGGTCAGAATTTCGTAGGAGCTCCATAGGGTTATTATTGTTCCAGCCTGCGCTGCAGTCTGTTCACCTTTTCCATGCTCAAATTGGGCATGTCTTCCTTCACCTCGGTTTCCTCATTTTTAAAATAGACGTGATGCTTTATTGCAAAAGAGCCGTGAATATTATTAGATGGGCGCCTGAGAACCTTTTGATAGTGGGTGGAGGATGCAGGAGGGGGAGGTGCTACTAAGTTGGGCTGATGGCAGCAGGCAGCCTGTGCAGACTTCTTGTCTTCTCTTTTGTGTCTCTTCTCTTGTCTCTCTGTGTCTTCGAAGGCACAGCTTTCCGCGGGGCAGTCCTGGGGGTATCCAGACTGGCAGCGTGCTGGGCAGTGTGCCGTGCTTGATGCTGTGTCCCTGTGTCTTGTTCCACGGAAGGAGAGGGCAGCCAGGCTGCAGCTGGGGAGCCAACACAATACTTGGGAAAGGCAGTGAAGGCACTTGTTCAGGAGAAACTCTCTGAGCCATGGAAGATGTACCTGCGCCGGTAAGGAAGGCATGGAACTAGGAACAGGGGGCAGGGAAACGATTTTCTCTGCAAAGCGCCTGGCCTGTGTCGCGCGCATTTGAATGCTGAGTTCTCTTTGAATTCGAAGGCCTGATTTCTGTGACATGCTGATCACCTTCTGGAGGGCGTTTAGTCCTCTCAGTCCTGACTGGCTGCAGTAGGTATTAAGATCCTGCAAGCAATGACTGCCAGTAGAATTCTTCCGCAAAGGGAATTAGAGAGCCAGCTAGCAGCACAGATCTTCACGTACTGCTATTAGCATGCACTTCACCTCAGGCTTCTCTTCAGTTCCCCAGTTTGCAAGTCCTGGGGATCTCCTCTGTGCTCTTCAGCACTGAACCGGTATTAGACCGTGCTTAGTGATTATTACACACGGATCACAGAAGCCTTAAAATGCTTGCTGTGGAATTTTTCTCTCGTCATAGGAGTAGACTGCAGGAGAGAAACGGGGCATACAAGGGATGTGGGAACTGGATGGTTTCTGCTGCAAGAACCAATGTTTTTATTGTAGACGAGAAGGCTTGAAAGGAAAATGGAACAGATGATACAAAACTCACCCACACGCGGACACACGCACATACATGCCCAGACAGACGCATGCTTTAAGCGTACACAGATACACCCAGGCAGCCACATACGGATTTGTGCTCTGACACAGATAGTTGCCTACACGTGCCCGTGGACGTTTTGTAAATCCCAGGCTTTGACAATGGAAAGGACTAGAAGGTCGTCTTGTCCGTCTGCCCCTGGCCAACGTGAGATCCTTCCCTGGAGTCTGTTGGTTAGCATTTTGTCCAGCCTAGTTTTAATTATGCCAAGCAGTGTGACTGTTCCCTTGTCTCTGGGAACGTTATTCTACCACGTAATACATTTCACTGTCAGAGTTTTTTTTCCCCCCAGTACGTTCCCCGAATTTCCCTTCTCCTAATTCCTTTGCAGTACTCCCAAGTTATATCCCCTTGAACCAGAGCAGATAATTCCTCTCCTCAGCTGGAGTTCACCCCCTTCCTATAGTCACAGACTTCTAGCATATCATTTAACAAAGATTATTTCCTCCTTTTAATCTGACTTTGTGAATTAGTCCCTTCAGCCTGGTGATCCTTGTGTTGCTGTTGTCGTTGTTCTTACTCTGAACGTATGCAGAATTGAACTATCGTTCCTGTATCACCACACCAGATAGGACCAGCTTCCTGCCCCATGTATGCAGCTTCCAGTTGTGCTGTCTTGTTTGCATCCATGTTACATTATGTATATGTATTATGTTTATCATCCACTGTTACATTGGATTGCTTGTAATGTTGCTCTCAGGAATTCTGTATGTATAAAATACTCCCTCCTACCCCCAGATTTATTAGCTGTTTTTTTCCAAATATGAATCTGTCATTCTGAACCTTTCCCCTTGTCTTGCAAAGCCCCTCTTTGTTATTTCTGTCCTCTTGCACTGGTGTTTCCAACTCCTCCCAGTTTAGTATCTTCTGTGAATTTCATTAACATGCTGTTTACTTCTTCTCCTAGATTACTAATGAAGATGTTAAATAAGCTCAGACCTAACCAAAGTCATCCTTGCAGCATTCATGAGATACCTCCTCTTGGCTCAATACACTGCTATTTGTCATTAGCCTTTGTTTACGGTCCTTCAGCCAGTTTTCAGTCCATGTAGTAGCATTCACATCCAAGCCAATTTGAATTAATTCTAAGCATATGTGAGACTGTATCAAAATGCTTTACTAAAATCCAAATATATTGCATCCCTTCATCCACTAATTTTGTAATTCTATCAAAAAAAGCAATTAAATTTGTCTGGCGAGATTTATTCTTCATAATCCTGATGCTGTTTATTGCTCATGGTTCCTTTATCCTCTAGATGTTTAATGATTTTCTCCTCCCTCTTAATATTTGTTCCATTACTTTATTGGAAAGAGAAGTTAAAACTGGAGGTACGATAATTGCCAAAGATCAGTTGTCTTTTTTTTCTTGAGGAATCAGTACCTGGCTTATTTTTGCCAGTTTCCTAGCACCTCCCTGTTCTCTATGGCTTAAAAAAAATAACAAATAGTCACGCGATCAGTTTTTGAGTTAATTCCCATTGCACTTCAGGACACCCATCATCCAGACTGGTTGATTTGTGTATATTTACATTTTCTAACCAGTCTCTTGTCTGCTGTTTTACGAGATCTTCGTTTCATCCCTAATGTTGTGCCGCGTCTTCTGTCCAAAGCAGGTTTTGGAAGGGCAGCCATTTTTGACTCATCACTTCCCCTCCCGTTTTTATCTGACCTTCTTTCTAAGCGTAGTACCTCTTGTCCCTGATAAAAACAACCCCTTTAGCTTGCATTAACTTGGTTTCTTATCTCTTCTCCTGTCGCACCCTTACTTCCCTTTATCTTCTCCTTGCAAGCCTTAACTGACTTCTGGATCCACTGGCCTTTCCCTTTTCCAGTACAAGATTTTTTTTTCTTTTTCCTTTAACCTCAAGTTGTTAAGGAGGTCCCTCCTGGGACCACACAGGCTGCTGCTTGTTTCTTGCTTTCCTGCTCATCAGAGCAATTGTAGTCTGTTGCACCTTAATTATGCAGGATTCCTCAGCGAGAAGGTTTTAAATCCTTCCTGCCATTGCTTTTTACTTGTTTTCTTGATTCCCTGTGATTCTGGAATTTCCTGGAATCCCATGCGTTTGTGCTGCTGTTACTAAGTATGGTGAATCTCAGCAGTGGATGAAACCGTGCTTAGTTGTTTTTGGCTTCTTGACGGGTTCCTCTGAGATGGCAAGAGGCGTATCTTAGACAGCTTTTGCTCTGGTTTCTGCATTGCAGCATTGTTTCTTCTGTACTTCATGGACTGTGCTTTTCTCTATTTATGCATATTAGGCTCTTACTGCCTAATAGGAGATACCTTGTCTCTCCCGTGTATGTGGTATCCTGTGGTTTCAAGCAGAGGGGAGGCATACAGGATCTAGATTCCCTTGAACCACTATTTTTCCTTCCTTTTTTTGCTACTTCCAGTAAATTCAAGCTGAAAAGAAATGACCAGTAATATTTCAGCAGCATGCCATTGTTCTGGAAGTCCCTTAACTTACTAACTTTTGGTTGTTCCTCAGAGCGCTAGCTTTTGTACATAGGCATTCAAGAACAGTAATGTTTTTCATAATTTTGTTCCAGAGTAGTTCTGAATTTTGTGCCCTCTGAAGAGAACGGGCACAGTTCAACTAGAGAGAAATTAGGTTCTTGTTCAGCATGTTCAGATCTATGTAAACAGGCAATAATCAAGCAGAAGTAGTATTTGGGCAGCAAGGACAGTGACATGAGAAACCAGGCTGGTAGTAGAATTGAAAAACCAGGAAGTATGTCTCTTCCATCACCTCTTCTGGGGCCTTCTGTAAAATGCCTGCTTGTCTGCTTTGGTCAGGTTTGGTACCAAGGATTTCTGTGATGCACAGTGCGACTTTCTCCATAAGGTGCATTTCCATTGTGTCGTGGAGGAATGTGGTGCCCTCTTCAGCACCTTGGATGGAGCCATCAAGCACGCCAAGTAAGTAGGAGAGTCTTGGGAAACCTAGAGGAAACTCTAAAACACACGTGCTGTGGGGGAGACCTTACTGAGTAATGCTCTTTCGGAGTGGGAACGTATGCAGTCAGGAGGGTAGCAGTTTGGGCCTCCACATGCATCCCGTGTAAATGTGCCTAGCTAAATTTTTTACAGAACACCATGTTCCTCTTGAATTTTGCTTGACAATAGACGTGTTGAATACGTGACAGATTTGGCAAGGTTGAGAACTGGACGTTTGTGTTTGCATGAAGTGTGCAGAGTCCCTTCTAGGATTTAGCCTGGGCTAAGTTGTTTCCAGACTGCTGTCGTGTTCTCGTTAATGTTTAATCAAACTTTATGCAAGTCAAGAATTTATGTCTAAATGGCACTCTTTTTGCAGTTTTCACTTCCGAACTGAGGGCGGAGCTGTGAAAAGTAACTCCGAGTCTCCCTTCCCAACTACTGCTGAGACTAAGGCTTCATTAGCCCCATCGTCACCATCTGCTACTTCTGTCACCATGGCGAGTGCTCCTGCCCTTGACGTGCCCACCCCGAGCCCAGCTACTGTGCCGTCTGCCCCCACGCTGCTAGCTTGGAAGCAGCTGGCTTCAACCATACCCCAGATGCCTCAGATCCCAGCATCAGTGCCTAGCCTGGCAACTTCACCCTTGGCTACGACTTCCCTGGAGAATGCCAAGCCTCAGGTCAAACCCGGATTTCTCCAGTTCCAGGAGAAGTGAGTTGTTTTAGATGCTGCTTGCCTCCTTGTCCTCTTCAGCCTTGCAGTCCCCTCGGGGCCTTTGCTCAGAGTTTATTGGTACATCCTGGAGGTGACTAGCCACCTCCAGATCTTGCTGAAATCTGAGACTTACCGTGATTTTCTACGCTCTGGTCAAAATCAGCGGGCAATTGAGTGAGTGCTCAGTCGTGCTGAGGTGAGGTTTTACTGCAGCAAAGCCCAAGCTAAGAGTATATATTTACACATTGCTGACAAGGAAGCTTGCTGGATTTCTTCAGGATTTGCCCCAAATAAGATCTGCAGCCTTTTCATACAAATATTGTCTGTGATTCAGTGTAATGCAGCTTAATTTTTTTTCAGTGAAGACTGGGAGGTCAGATAGCGGATGGGAAGATAGTGGATGGGAAGCACGGTGACTTGACCGTGTCTTAACCAGGAACGGGTCTACCCAGCAGCTTGAGGAATAGGGAGCAAGCATCTGTCACTTGAGATTTGTCAGTGGTTTGCTGTCCTGGCTGAACTTTTGTGCAAATGTAATGATTCTCCTGAAATTCTGTGTCTCCCGTTTGTAGCATTAGTTTACAAAGTAATGCACAAGGGAGATGTCTGACAGAGGGTAATACAACCCTTTTGTAGAGCTCTGCTGTGAAGTTCTTTAAAACCATTTAAGACGTTTCAGAACGCTGCTGTGGTGTTGATTGCTGTTGTTGCCGTTATACAGATGGACAGAACAACAAGGCACAGAAGTTCTGTGGTTTGCATTAGGCCACAGGAGTTCAGGGTCAGGTTAGGCACTGCAACTTAGTTATTCAGGCTGGTGGAGCATAGCTCTCTGGGTCACGTGTTTACAGGTGTTTGCCTCCTTTCAAGTAAGCGTATTAATTCCATTTCATGTATCTGAGTGGGTAGCATTGAGAACAGTGATCTCAATGCAAGAGATCCATGTTCAGCTACCTCTAATACTGACCTCTGTTTATCCAGCTAGAAATCCATGGAATGGGGGGGGGGTGTTATCCAAAACACTTTGCTGAATAAGTAGGTCACTGTGCGCTTAGTCTAGCCAGGGGAAGCCCTGGCATCTTGCACTGTGCATGCCCGAGAGTTTCATTTCAGTTACACAAAAATTCAGACGGTAGAAACTGTGCTAATCCACTGACGTAAGTACAGGCAGAAGGGAAGAAACAGCATCTCTCCGGAGCTGAAGAGTTCTTGAATGTGACGTGCAGCTCTCAAAGACTACAGATCCCACCATGCCTTGCTATATCTTAATAACCTTAATCAAGAAAGGGCACTGCTTGCCGGAATTGTAGTAGTGTCTGCCAGCATCAGTTTTACTAAAGAGGAAGGTGGCTATGGGAAATCTGTAGGCCATGTTTGGAACAGAGGCTTCAGCTGGGCTCCCCTTGAATTAAACGTTGGCAAAGAAACAAATGTGTGAAATGAGTGAAGGTGGTGATTAGATTTTGGATGTATTCCAGTGATCCCTGCCTGGCAACGGACTGCAAGTATGCCAACAAATTCCACTTCCACTGTCTCTTTGGGAACTGCAAGTATGTGTGCAAAACCTCTGGCAAAGCAGAATCCCACTGCCTGGACCACATCAACCCCAACAACAATTTGGTGAATGTGCGAGACCAGTTTGCTTACTATTCGCTGCAGTGTCTCTGTCCAAACCAGGTAAGAGCAATTCAAGAAGCAGGGGACTAGCCTGAGTATGTGTGCTGGAGAAGACAGATGGGAAATAACAAGTGGACTATTACTAGAAGCAAGGCTGAGAGTCCATCCCGGGTCTAACTGCTGAAC